AGTGGAGGTAGCAAGATTCTTAGCAGGTTAAGAAAGTTGGTAAGTCACAGTTGAGAATTAGTTCATTTCAAAACCTAGACTTTTTTGCTCTGTTATACTTCATATGGAAAAATAGTGTTGTAGAAAAAAATGAAAAAAAAGTAGGCTACATTTTATATCAAATTTAATTTTGTTCCAAATATTTATTTATTTAAAAGTATTCTATCTCCTTGAAGAAGTCAGTTTCTTATCCGGGCCTGGTAGTGTATTCCTATAATGTCAGGACTTGGGAGACTGAAGGAGGAGGGTGAATTCAGGGCTAACCTGAGCTAGATAATGAGACTCTGGTCTCAAAAGGGAAAAAAAACCAGACAGAGACAGAGGGAGCAGAGATAAGAGAAAGAATGAGTTAGGTTATGCCTCCTTTTCAGTACTTGAGTTAAGGATCCCACTGTAAGTGCGGTGTTTTTCTAATGGCTTTAGAGTGTGCTTTACTGTCAGACCTTTAACTTTAACTTGTGAATTCTTGAGATTTTCTAAATTTTAAACTTACTTTGATTCTGCTGTTTTATCTGGTAAAGCAAATCTCTCCAAACTCCAAGAAGAAACTAAACAATTGGATGTGCCTACCGTGTGGCTTTATGTGGCCCTTTAGCATAAGCTAATAATCAAGGATATGTGTTATTAAATACGTCATTACTAAAATATTGTTGGCATCATTACATTTTTCTTAGGCTTGAGCCCGAGTCTCTTGTAATTTCTCTCTGTCTTGTTGAGAATCAAACCAATGAGCACCCATTCTATTGTGTGTAATTCCCAGTAGTTTAAAGAGGCTTCATCCATTTTCCCTTTTCTGTCTGTATCTTGTGTATCTTGTGTATTCTTATAAAGCAATAAATCATGTTCATAATAAATGAGGACTACTTGGCCCTAGTCATATTTTATTTTGTTTTTCCTGTATTTGAATTGAACAGAGTTCAAGGTGATGCACATGTAATTCTTTAAACAGTGCTGTCTGTTCCTGGCAGCTTGCTATGGTCTTGAACTTACGGTGGTACCCTTTCTCCTGCCTTGCTTACGTGTTTCTGCCAGGGTGCACTGTCCCATGGGTCGCTCCCTGGCCTGCTTTCTCTTGGCTACCTACCCTTTCTGTTGCATTGTGGGTATCTACAACTAGCCTCTTCTTGGCTACCTGCCCTTTCTGCTGCAGTGCGGGTGTCTACAGCTAGACTCCTATTTATCTACAGCTAGACTCCTCTTTCGTCTTCTCCTTCCAGTCCTCCCACTGTACTGTAGTTTATTGGGGTCCCGTCTCTTTTGCCATGACATCCGAGATCTTTTTGTCATTGCTCTCAACTGCTTTAAAAGCATACTAAATGCGTATTTCTCATGAGATAGCTCTTATAAGAAATGGTTTATTTCCTTATTATCTTTATCATTTCAATATCTGGTACAGTACCTGGCAAACCACAGTTCTCTAATAGTTACTTGAAGAATGCATAAATTAGTAACACTAATTTCTGTATTTATCATTTTTGTAATTTTAAAATGTAAGTTTTAAATAATTTTATGAAGTATTTTTACCAAGACCTATTTTATTCTTTTTAAAGTAATTTGTTCATAAGTAATTTGCTTTTCTCTTAAAATTGTGAAAAATTGTCAGAAGCCCC